GTTGTGGCTGGTTGTTTGTTTTTCAATATGCTCTTTGTATTCTAGATAACAAAGCAAATTGTGAAGTTTAGAAAACTTGGTTGTCTGAGGTTAATTACAAAGGTACAACTATGTTTGTTTGGACAGAAAATCTTTTTCAGTAAGCTTGCTTCCCAGAAGGAGACGGACTTTGACAAACTAAAGCAAGTCCAGCGGAAAGCCTCAGGACAACTACAGGGCCACAGCATATGGCATGCAAGAAAATGTCAAGGAAAGCATTCAGTCTTGAGAAGGCAACCAGGAAAATCTTTTGTTGTCCTCAACTATCTAATGTGAGAGTACAAGAGAAGACAGACATTATTCTTGAAGATACACAGACAAAGGACAAGAGGCAACAGACACAAGCTCCATCTGGGAAATTCCAATTGTATATTAGAAAAAAAATTGCAATCATAGTAGTCAAACATTAGAATAGGGCCCAGAGAGGTGATGGATCTCCATCCTTGAACAGGGCTCTAAGCCCCTCCTGCCTTGAGTGGGGGAGTTAGACTAAGTAACCTCTCCAGAGGTCCTTTCCAACCTATTTTCAGTGATTAAATACAAAACCTTGCTGTAAAGACCCACTGGAAGAAAGGTGATGTGTATTTTACATATACCAAGAAAAAAAACCATACTGCATTTCAAAATTAATTTACTGCAATTACAGAGGAAAATAGTCAGTAGTAAGATTAAGTCACTAATATTAAGAAAAGCCACAACTTGCATGTATGTTGAAGCCAGAAGAAAGCTACAGAAGCTCAGTATTCAGAGACATGAATTCAAAGGATTTCATAGTATCCAATTCATCTCAACTTCATTACACAAAAATGGAGTCTGGATTGCAGCTCTGGACCTAGACAATTATCTAGCGCCCATGAACTTCAGATTCATCTACTTACATTAACTGTTTTGAGATATTAAACTGCAAGGTCAAGGCAAGTATTTTAGTTCTCACAGCTGCAGCCTAGTTTCACTAAAATTACCTTAATTACCAGACCAAAATGTTGTTTTACATTGTTCTTCACTTCAGATGAGAACACTGAACTAGCTGTAACAAACTTCTAACATTTTCAAGCCAAAGGTTAATTTTTATTTTAAAAATCCCCACAATAAAACTCTTAACAGAGGCTTAAAAAGGTCTTTATAAAATAATCTCCATCACACTTACAATAGTAAGAAAATTATTCTGGTTGTTAGTTTTTAGTAAATACGAACTGTTTTGTGTAATCTACATTAAAGATGCTTATAACTACAGTTCACATTTTATTTTTAAAAGGTGGACCAACAAACGTGTCAAGAAAAGCAGATCATTGCCATTTCTCAACAAGTCATTTTTAATAAGGACATGCTGCCTTGATAGGTAAAGCATGTTTGACAGACAGCTGAGCTAGGATGGGTAAAGGAGAGAAATAATGATTTGCATGCCAAAAACACCTTCCTCAGAGATCACTTTATACCTGGCAACTGTACAATTACACTGATTTAAGATCAAAATTGGGTCATTCCATCCATCTCTTGAATTAAGGTGACAATCATCTCAAAATTTAAGTTTGCTTGAAGTGACACAAGAAGGTAGAATGTCAGCAAGTTCCGGACTGGCAGGAAAAAAGCATGATGCTTATCCTGTCATCTGTAACTATGAAAATACTAGATGTTCTTCAACGTGTTTTTCACCAGGTCTGTCGGAGCAACAAGTATGGCTGTGCAGAGAAAACAGAACATGTACATATTCGAAATATGAAATACATCAAGTTTTCTGTTCCTGCAGTAGTAATAATAAAATTAAATATGCCAACATTCAATTTCAAGACCATTCAAAAATATCTAAAAATCCATACACATTTTTAATCAAGTTTTTAATACAAAAAGCTCCTGAAATATGTTTTGTGGACACAAATTGGCAATTACAATTACAAACAGAAAGAGCTCACAACAACTGCTCATAGGATATCATTCACTATACATTTTAATTAGCTACTAGATTCTTTAACTTATAGTAATAAATTATCCTACTCTATTTAGTGAGAGAAATAAAGTTGTGATCATTTATACATCTGAGCTTTAATATGTTGGTGCATTGTCCTCCCTCACTAGGGCCCTCTAACAAGAGCTGTAAAAAGAATATATGGAGAGTGTATAGTGACTTACACAAATCTTTTAACCAACACCATGAAAGACATTCCTGTGAATCTAATAAAAAGAATAAGATGCTAGTGGTGGCTACGCTTTACTAAAGAAGGACAAAATTCTCACTTCCAAGAGTCACTTAAAATCATCTCAGCATTTTTGGTTTCCTTTCAACCAAGTTACCAAAATAGACACAGGAAATGAAATTTCCAATTTATGTGTTAGTTGTCCTAGTACTTCTTTACATTGCTAACATGAAACCTTATGTTTCACAAAGACCAGCTTCAAGATGATCTAGAAGAGCTAAATCAAGTCAAATAAAAGTAGAACTCAAGAGGTTTAACGCTATTTGTACTATTTTATCAATGAGTAGAAGATTGGTAGCTACTCACCAATTTTAACTGCAAGAAATTCTTCTCATATGTAATTTTAGCTAAGATAGGTAATGCCACTGACTTGACTTAGTTAGAGTAATCTACCAGCAGATGTCAGGAAAAACCTCCCAAGACAGAACACTACACAAACACACTATGCCGCAGATGCTGTGCATCAGCGCTCCCCTCTTTTGCTTTAAAAATTCACCCTCCATATGATGAACCACAGTGGCCACCTTAGTCCCTCTTCTGCTTTTAACAACAACATTTGGCCAACTCCCTCCCTCTCTCTGAAAAAAAACAATCAGCTAACTCAGACCAAAGATAAAATCGAACATCCAGCTCCTCCCTTAGCTTGCCTCAGCTGAATTTTTATCTCCTCCAAAATTACCACAGTCCCCAAGTCAAAGGAATCTGCACTGGCCAACAGCACCATAAAGATCAACATTCATGAGAAGAGGCGAGCAGGCTAGTAGATACTGTGTCTTTCCCTCTCCTGAGAGCAGACACCATGAAATTAAACTGGACAGCAAGAGATAGCTCTGCACATCAAAGCAAGAAATTGCTCAGGTCCCAGCATTCACATCAGATAACATGAAGAGTAGGAAGAGTAAGCCCAGAGCTACCTTTGGCATTTACTCTTTCTCTTGGCACCCACAAACAGAGAGAGGCTGTTTCATCAGATGATCTACTTCTAGATGGGTAAATGAATGTTGCTGTCTTAGGCACTGCAGGATAATCCATTACCTTCACACTGCAACCCTTCACACTGGAAGGTCTTCAAAGAAAAGAAAAAAAAAACCACATGCTAACCCTTCCTGACTACTGTCTAACACTGGGGGAGGATTTTCCTTTTCCCTACTGAGAGACTTATGGAATAGTATTTTACACACCGTATGCAGAGACATTTCCTCTCATGTGAAACAGATCCTGGTCCTGTAGTGTGCAGCCTCCCCAAGATACCGCTTGTCATTAAGTGCACCCAGTGGGCCCTAACTGGCCCCCCACTGAAGCCTCTGTTCAAATGCTGTTCAGTCAAATGCTGAAAGAAGTTCTGAGCAATTCCTAACGGTATTGCAACCACAGAGACATCCTTGACTGTGCTTTGTTGCATGACATCCTGCTAAACCATCCTCCAACTGTGTAGTTCTTAATGAAAAACACAATTATCCCAGTGACTGCTGAAGCTAAGAAACAAAACCACTGCTAGCTTTGTAATGATAAACTATCACATCCCATTCCCCCCAATGAGACAGAAAGTTATTCCTGTAGCAATAAGCTTCACATGATTTCACCCTAAGTGGTCATAAAAAAACAAAAGCAGAGAAAAAAATTGTGCAGCTATGACTTGAGACTCTGCATAAGCCACTGTGATAACTGATACACCACTGTCAGAACTGTGCAGCCAATTATTATTTGGCCAAGCTTTAAAAAAATACATTTGATCAGCTACAACATTTCATTTTTTAAAATATGCTATTAACTGGCCACCAGAAGCATTCTGTTACAAAAGACTACTAAAACTGTATGGTTGTAGTTAAAGATATCTAGAATATTCCTCTGAAATGTCAAGCATTTCTCTTCACACTGGGTATTTATGTACCTTGACGTTATCAGCTCTTCTGAAAAATGGAGAAATACATCAGGCAATATCTTGCTGTACAATTACAAAAAGGAAAGGTACATCTTTCTTCCTCTTTGCCTCTCAAGAGAACATAGCATTTTCTACAACATCCAGTCATGCAAACTGGTACAATATAGATCCTCCATTAGGACACACACATCTTAAAATAAAAATACCTGTAAGTATATTTCAGATTTAAGATACTCAATTATATTGTGCATTTAATTCATTTTCAAAGTGAACCAACTTCCATGCTATATCGCTCCACTTGTTCTACTGAAATCCCTAAGCTACACAAAGATAATAAAATACTGGCATATATAGTCTAATTTAGTAATTTATTACTATCAATGTTTAACATCTTAGGGGAGAAGCAACTTCTTCCCTGGCATACGTGTGCACAATTGGTCAAACAATACTACAATATGCACACTACAACACTGGACCGCTGTTGGTGTTCTTTAACCTACTGTGCTGTAAATGAAGTTTCATCACATCCGATATCACCAAGTTTTCCTACACTTGAACAGTCGCTGAACAACTGAACTGGGGGAGAAACATGATAAAGAGAAATAAATTTTTTTTTTGACATATTTATACTGGCAATTATTATCCCACACCAAAAATTCTAACATCAGCTGTCTTTTGGGAATGAAGAGGGGGAAAAACTTGAAGACTTTCCCTGTATTTAAGTTTAGAAATTGCTTTTGCAATCAAAATGACACTTTGTGGCTGCCTGCTTCATAATGTAAACTTCAGAGAAAAAAGGGAAAGGAAGGACGTCTAAGTTGCAGCTGAATTTAATATGAGTACATAAATGATACTAGAACAAACTTACAAATTCATGTTTCTATGTATCAATGCTGTGGCTGCTCAGGACTGATATTCATAGTCCTGTATATTTCTTTGAGAAACAGCAAGGCAGTGTCTTCAGATCCCCTGTGAACAATTAAAAAAAAAGAAAAAAATTGTTATTTTGGTATGGTATATGTTCTAATTCTTGTAAGCCACACTTCATGCCATTCCAGCTCTCTAACAAGTTTGCACAACCTATTGCCCTAGTTCTTAACTTCTGGGAACTTGGCCTTACCAGTACCAACTTCCTTTGAGCTACAATTCTTTATCAGTTTTGGATTATTTCTGCTATCAGCTCTAGCCTATGCATTTACCTTTTTCTACTGCATTTTTCCCTGACTCTGTCCTCCCTAACTTACTATGGCTGTAACTTGAAATCCACTTCTTTAATGTCACTACTTTGGCTTAAATCTCCTCAAATAATCTACCACTTTTTGTCTGCGAGGGGCTCCTGAATGTATTCTACTTGTCAAGGCTTTCTTCCTTTACTTGCTCCACTGCATCTATCAGCCCAATGTCAGAACTCAAGCCTTGCCAGTTCTATCATCACTATTCTAACTCTTCTCTCCTAACTGGCTGGCACTTCCTTGTAAACAGACTATTAAACATCCATAGTCTTCCTCTCTTCCTCACCACTAAAAAGTAAGAAAGTTGTCAAATAATTTAAAGATTAATATAATTCAAGTGCTATGTTTCCAAGTTGGTGTTTCCCCTCCCCTTTTCAAAATCAAAGCTTCAGGCTATCTGAATTTAAATTTAACATGGACAGACTTACTTTTCTTATTTGACTACAAAGTGTTATTCAAACACACATAAACAATACCAATAAAAAAAGAGTAATAACCACTGCAAAAAATAACAAAGTTAAACAGGCAAATTTTAACAAAGTTCCAAAGCTGCAGGACCATTTAGAAGAAACGACATACAGAGACAGTAAAGCATATTTAAATAGAACTGTGCTCCTCCAAATGTGAGGAACATCATTTACAGAGAACCAGAAGAGTTAAACATGATACAGATATTTTCCACAATTAAGCAGAGAGAGAGCAACCACATTTCTTGATGATCTCTGCTATTAAATGAGCAAGCAAACAAGCAAGCAGAAGGATCAACACAGAAGCTCCATTGTCTGTGACACAGATCATTTAATCTAAAGCTTTCCCCACCACCCCCCTCCAAAAAAACCCCCAAAAAAACCAAAAAACAACCCCCCCCTAAAAAAACCCAACAAACAAACCCAAAACCAAAAAACTCTCTCATGTTTGGGTTATTAATCATTGTGGTTATCTTAGTAGATTTACAAAAAAAATACTATGAGTAGCAAGTTTTTAAAAACCTGGCAATGATCGGCTGCCGCCTTGTGGAAAAGAACTCCTTGTTCCTTCAACTCTACCCACGAAACGACACTGCCACCACTGGGTCACCAACTGCTCAGGGAGCCCTGCCAGAGCACAATGCTCAGCAGTGCTGGCACACAACAGCACTACAGCCTTGATAAACCCTTCTCCAGCAGCTACTGATCTTTAACAATGTCAGAGATACTGACTTAAAGATCCTTCAGGTAATGCTTTCAATTCTGTATTTTAAGCTCTGAAAAAAATGTCTGCTTCTAAAAATTATTAGCTATTGAAAATCAAAACCTTTAAAAATAGCATAGAGCACCACTTGTCCAGCACCTGCTAAACTAAGAGCAAGAGACTAGTACTTTGCTTACTGAATAACAAAACCAGTCACTCATCCCCACCAACAGCATTTTGCCCAGCTCAGCAACCGACATCCCAGCTTGTCTGTTACATACAAAGGTGTGCTGTTGTGTTCCCGAATAAAGCTGACACATCCTTTGCTCTACCATTTCACATCCTGTGTATTTTCAAGTGTGCTTAATTTTATTACAGTAATAAAATGCATACAATGACATACCAAAAAAAAGAAAAAAGAGAGCAACTCATAAGGGCAAATAGAACAGGTCAATAGTTACTGCTATTCCTAAAAATGGAATAAAGTATATCTTTCTCCATTTGAAACATGTAAGCACTTAAAAAAAGGTAAATCCAAAACTAAATAAGGCAATGGTGTACTGCAGCTCTGACTACATGACACCAAACTTTCCTTCTCATTCTGTAACTCGTTCTGCGTCTGAGAAGAAGTGGTAAATCATGACCATCCAAATTTACCGGAAGATCCATCATGCCTTTTTTCTTCATTTTATTTGTTAATCTTTGATAGCAGAGCATCAATATCCAGCAATTTCATTACAACATGAAGAGGTAACAAAGTTTTACTACATATTGCAGTAAATTCTTTCATGACAACTACAGTTGTCAAAACCCTTGTTCTGAAAATTATTGTAGTTGAAGGTGTGTGTTTTGAGTGTCAAAGTTCAAGAGACCAGTATGCAACGTCTTTATTGCGAGCAGGACAATAGATCTGTTTACTTTGTGCTAATACTGAATTTTACTTTGAAATTACATTAGCTAATAGTGACATCTAGGTGTGATACCTTGAGACTGACATTCCTGGACAGTCACATATACCGTACACATTAATACTTGAATTGTCTCAATTATGCAACACTTGTGCATCCAGAGTATAACAAATTTATCTTTACAGTATGCCTGTGTGGGACGGCAACACCTTTCAACATGACATAATTTCAGAATTCAATTATGAGGACCTCGCATCCAACTTGACAGCTGTCTTTTCCAAACATTTAAAGGACTACGAAGACCCAGAAAACTCCTAAGTTATATGCATATATATCAACCACTGGAACAACTCCTGTTACAGTAACTTTATAACTGGTTGGTCCTTCTGCCATGTTTAACTTCTCAAATCACCAATAGGCTGAAAAATAGATCTGTGTATGTAAACCCAGTTATTTTTGTCAAAATGTACTTGAAATGAAACACTAGAGCATGATTTTTGACAGAGATCACCTGAGTTTTCATTGTAAAATGCTCAAGACAGGAAACTATTCTAGCTATTATCACATTGGTCACAGGTAAATAACAGACAACAGGAGTAAGATAAATGGTAGGCATTGTCATTACCAACATTTAAAGACACACTGTTGTATCAGTAAAGCAATATTTATAAAACCACAAATATTTCCCCTTACCAGTAGCACAAGTGACTCTGTAAAGCAAAAAGGTATTCATTGAAGCTTTCTATTGGTTTTTCTTGTAGAACATAATCAATACGACGTCCTCCATTTAGCATTCCAACCTTCACTGAAAAATCTTCATCTTTTGGAGGGTCTGGACTTTCAGTGATCTTTTCAGCTAAAATTAAAAAGGTTAAGATGTAATAATTTTAAAACACAGGCTGCTTGACTATAATCAAGAAATATCACCCATTTTCCCTGCTATAACTTCCAAGTGCTCGCAGTAAGACAATAATAGCCTCAACTGACTAGCACGCCATCGCACAATTCAGAAAGGTTACTGGAACTATAGGCTTATTTCTTTCATAACAGTTTAAATGGAGTTTGTTTGAATAATAGCTCACATACAGTAGTAGCTGAGCAATTTTAAAAACAAACCCCACCATTTATACACAGACAGATCCAGTCATTCTATAAGTGAATAACCTGAAACAATATTTTTACATCCACCTTACATAGTCAATCACTATCCTCAATTTAAACTAGAAGGAATATTTTGTCTTTGTAAGTTATAGACAAAGCCAGCATTACTGAACACCAACAGACAATTCACAGTTGCGAAGCCTGTCCTTGGTATTATTAGGTATTATTATTATTATTATTGGTATTATTATATTTATATCTGACTTAAGTTCACCTTCTTCAACAGCATTTTTTTCTGTTAGAGTACATACTTAAATGCTTTTTAGCTCACCACAAAAACTCACCAGGAAAATACTGAAGAGAATAAATCTCACAAATATTTACTTGCATTAATTTGCCCCAAGAGGAAAGAAAACACAACTGATTTAGAAACCTGCCCTTCCAACAGAAAGTTGAAAGGTTATACAAACTCAAGCCTGAAACATCCTTCAGTAAAAGCTGTTAACTTTTCCTTTCCTAAAAGACAAAAAAATGCAGCAGTACCTCTTACATTTAATGTTAAATTCTCCAAAAGCACAGAGGCTTCCTTAATAAGGTGAGGAAAATCAACAGCAAGCAATCACTAGGATACTCGAGTTTCTACTAATTTACGATCGATAAGTTATAAGAAAACGAATAATGTGTCCCCATACCTTCTACCACTTGCTTTTCTTCTTCCTCTTTAATTTGGTTAGCTACCTTCTCCAGTTCTGCTTGTAGCTGAGTTGAAGATGTATGAGCACGTGCAAATTCATTCAGGGTCTGCCATGCGCTCTTCAAAGAGCTAATAAAACCCTGTTTCAGATCAGATCCCATACGAGAGAGAGAGTCTTTCAGCTCTAAAAAGTAAAAAATAAAATAAAATTTAAAAATCACCATAGAAGAAGAATTCAAATTGTGTCACCGGTAACACAGCTGCCATTCAATACTGGTGGGAAACTCTGAACGAAGGAGAGCTCTTCACAATAACTGGTTAGAACCACATGGGTCTGTTAGACCAGGGCTCACTGTTCCACAGAACATTCAAATACATCAGAGAAAAAACAGTAAAGAGCAACAGACTTTATTTTTCTCCTTTACTATACACACCTTGAGAGTTGTAACATAAAATATTCCTTAACAAATACCTTGCCTAGTCTAGGAAAGCAGACTAATTCTAATGTACCATTCTAAAGTACAGATGCTGCAGAATTTCTCCATCCAAGTGCCTGAATACAGGCTTCCAGGAGGGCTCTGAACTTGTACAACAGTAATATTGTGAACTGTATAGCAAAACTGACTCTCCTAATTAGGTATGCAAAATTCAAGTATAGCACCTTAATATGATGCATACTCATGAGCAACAAAATCCAGTCCCTGCGCATCAATGGCTATGGAACGACCTCTCTCCTCAATGTTTACAATACTGAACAGACACTGGTTAAACACTTCTTGGTGGTTATTAGGGACAAGGTAAGAGAAACCAGTAAATATAGTTTCTGTTCACATCATCTTACAAATTAAGGTGAACAAGTGATGTATAGCAATTTTAAAATGGAACTTTGTTAACTAGAAGCTCAAATCTGTAGAAATTATGATTATTACATCTGAATGCAATTGTGAATGCCCAACTTACGGGGCTGGGAGGAGCCCCCTCTGATGTTTAAGAAAAACATGGAGTCAGATATCCTGGAACATTCATCAGTCTTTTGAAATTTTACACTGTTCTAATACATCAAATAAGTAAACTAGGAATGAGATCTACATATGAAATAAGTTTTCTTTTTACCCAGATGAAGTCTTTTTCTGCCTTTGTGATGCGGAATAAGAACTGGTTTTAAATCCATGTCTTCAATAATCATTGGTTCTAACCTGTATGCTACTGGATCAAGCTGTTAAGAAACAACACATTGACATTTAGTTATCTTAGAAATTATTCTCATTATCACATTTCAGAAAAAAAAAAAATATCCCTATTTATGATTAATACAGAAACATTTTTGGATTCTGTTGTATTTCAGTTTACAGAACTCAGTTCATGACCACGTAGTTTAATCGTAAGATTAAGCAGGTTCATTAACTAATTAGATCTTGTTCTCCTATACACAGAGATTCTAAGAGAGGAAACACAACAGCAAAAGAGCAGCAAAATGTTCTTGCACTCTGATGATCTCTACCAACATGTCACCATTTAATTGTTAAACAAGATGGGACAGAAGAGGACAAATGTATTCCATGCACGGCAAAACCTCTAAGAACTTCTAAATTTCCCAGAATCTAAACTGAAAACTCAGTGAAGTCCTGTAAACAGCTCAAATACAAACACTTTATAAAAATCAACACGAGTGGCTTGAAATTAATGAAAAAAAAGTTCTCTAAGCTCTGAAAATGAAAAGGGCAAATATTATCAAGCCAATCTATACCTACAATGTATAGAACCTATAGCCACCTCTACTTCACTTTTGTAGTAAAGACCACAAATATTTGGTCATTTTTTTAATAACGTTGTTTTGGGAAATGTACATGGGGAACAGAAGGTGTAAAGTTCAGAGGTGAAACTTATTATTCTGCATTGCTGTCTTCTGCATCAACTAAAACCAAATCTCAAAAGCACTGCCTACTCACTGGATGATAGATATTGAAGAAGCCCTTGCAGGTAGGAAGTCTGTAGTTTTCATCAATCTTCTCCACACCTCTCACAGTAAGGAACACACCAATAGGAGAACCAAGAGCAAAGAAAATATCTGGTTCAAAGTCCAATGCACAGTGAACCACAGAAACCTACCAAACAGAAATAAGATATATAACTGCCAGCTGGTTAATATAATGCTTAGCTTGAAAAGAAAAACAAGTTGTGTATTAAATCAACCATGTGCTCACAGCACTTCCTGTAAGCCTCAGCTGCACTGCCCTCTTCCATGCTAATACTATAGTACTAGTACCTTTTTAACACTATAATCTTAAAATGCTTTTCTTAGGAAAAAAAATCAAAAGTAAAAAAAAAAAAAACAACTATTTATAACAGGAAGTCTTCGAGGTTTGGTTTTTAAGTTAAGTTTGAGGTAAAATTTCAATTAACAGCATAAATGGGTCAATTTAGGCTACCACATTAACAGTAAAACCACTGAATGACACAATATTATGTTATTCACACCGTTCTGCTTCTGGAACGTGTTTACAGCTCACTCACTGCTGAAAGAAAAAAAATGAATTGTAGTGGCATCCTTGTTATAACAAGTTTTGCTTTTCAGTAACCTATCCCACTCTCTCAGCCCTCTCTCCTGACAAAGTGTAAAGTTCTACATAAAGATAACTTTTGTACAAAAAATCAAGGGAAGTAGCACAAAGTCATCAAAATTAAAAAAAAAAAAAAACCTAAGCAAAAGGACAGCATTGATCCAAATGAGTCATTTAAATACATGTAGTCTCACCTGGCCAGTTCCGACTTCAAAATACTCATAATCAATGCTCACAGAAGAAACCGATGCACCAACTGCAAGCTTCCTCTTTGAGTGCACCTGACCAGACTCTGAAGGGGAGACAGAAGTAACAGTCTCTTTTGCTTTCTGGGCATCATCTTGAGTTTGGAGTGTGGCAGCCAGCACTGCTTTCTTTTCTGCTGCTGCTTTCTTTTGTTCCTTTTGAGACAAGTTTTGAAACCAGGAAGAAAAAAAGTTTATTTCACAGTTGTCAAAATTCCTTTAATATATCCACGACATTAACAAAAGTGTGGCTAAAGAACAGAAGTTACTCCACAGCAAGGAAGTGAGTTACATTTGCTTAACAACTTTTTATTTCATTCTTGAAAAATGTGCTTACCTGCTTGGCTGCTCTGTCTTTTACAAAATTAGCTAGTTTCTTTCTTGGTCCAAGAGGTATTCCCATTTCCTTCAGGTCATCAATTGTACACATCAGCTAAAAAAAAAAAAAAAAAAAAAACCAAAAAAAAAACCCACATCAAAGCATACTTCAAAACCTTTCTAGTAACATATACCGCTTCTTATTCACAATGATTTAGGAATTAGACATTTTCTAAAGTTACAGAAATTACCAAAAAAAATATTAAGAAGGTGTGACACAAAGTGCCCTAAAATAACTAAGGGGGAAAAAAAAAGAAAAAAAAAAAAGAAAAAAAAAGAAAAAAAAAAAGGTCAAAGACTGTGCATGTGTCTGTCAGACATTTAATTACCTTACCCCTTTGCAATGTTTTCATGGCTCACGGTACATAAACTCATCAAAAAATCAAACAAAAAAAACCACAAAAAAACACCCCACAAAAAAAAAAAAAAACTAAACATAAACCTCCATACCCTGGGCTATCCCCAAAAGTCAAGTGAACATTATTGTACCAGAGACTCCATGTCAATTCGCTCCTTTTCGAATGTGCTTGCATACTCTGACAAACTAAGCATTTCCAGAGTCTTCTGCAAAGTAGGAACATCATCATCTACTTCAGGCTCACAAAGGTCATCACCAGAAGTAGTAATTGAGGAGCCCAAGGAACTGGTATCTTCAGTCATCTTAACAAAACAGCACAGAAACAGAATCACATCATCTAACACTGAAAAGCCAATAGGCAGCAAGTAAATACAAGTTTGATTACTTTCTCTTAAAAAAATTAATATGTAAGCTTTGTAAATTTATGCCCATTTTTAGTAAAGCAGGATACAGATTTTCCGCTAACAATATACCAGCAAAACATATATTTAAAAATTAAGAGACACAAAAGGTTTCATGAGCTTTCTGACACTCAATATTTCCTTTTAATCATCAAACAACTGGTCACTGCTTCTAGCCTGAACACAGATAGATTCTTTCCCTCTTACGCAACTCCCCCACCATTCAGTTACTGTTAAGACCAAGCTGTGTGTCCACAAGGGTCAAAGCTGATGTTCATGGTCAAATCTCATTACTGGCCTACTTGGAACTTTCGAGCAATGCAAACAGTTTGTCCTGAGAAATGACATTATTTACAAAATTGCATATTTCCATTAACATGTTAAAATGTAACATCAGAACTCACAGCCATGTTTCAGCTAATAGATTCTGAAAACTTAACAAAAAGTTGCTGAAAATACCAGATCTATTTTCCTGGAAAGACTAGTATGGAAATTACCTGTTTATCATGACCAGCCACATCCTTTACAGTCCCATTAACACCAGAGAACGGTCCACTATTTACTGATGAAGCTAAGTCCTTCTGGTTAGACAATACGTCAAACAGAATTAAGGAACCTGGAAACAGGAATTAAAGTTGCCTTGGGAGAAACGCCAGATTTTCCTGTCCCTAAATCCTAAGCAATACTTATATGGAATAGCAACAGCAACATATAGATTGATCAAAAAAGGTCGCTGAATTAAAACTAAAATATCCACATATTAACTTGAACACAATCATTCTCAGTAAAAAGCAAACCTTTTTTTTTTCCCCATTCATGTGAAATAGCTTTACGTAGTTGCCATGATTAAACTATCTTTCCTTAACAATCTCAGACTGCTTGCCAGACTGGAGGAAAAGTGCCAGCCCAAGTGAGTACATCATATGTCTTTATAACATTTAATAAATGTTCCAAAAAATTATCTTACTTTTACTAAGAGGAGTTTCCCAGACACAGAAGTTACCTACCTAACAAGATACTAGATAACCTGTCAACTTTTAAACACAAATTAGATGCTAAGCCTGTCTGTCTTAGCTAGTTTTAGCCTTATGTTTAATGATGGTTCCAGTTCCTTCAGCATAGGAATGCTGGTTTTATCCCAAATCAGTTACTTAGCTAATTACCTAAACTGTGCCCAGCCACAGAGACTCCTCCTTTGAAGTCCGGGTTGCGACTCATGAAAAGCGCGTACAAACGATTCATTTCCATCCCTACTTTATCCACAATGGTCTGACAGTAGGTGGGGCTGTTGTAAAACAGTACGTCAAGCAGGGTTTCATTGGTGAAGTGGCGCAGGCGACCAATGCTCGGCAAAGTGATTTTTTTTATGTTCCTAGTAACACAAAATCATTAGAAGCTTGAACGCGTTTAAAGAAATGCAGGTAAGACTTTTGTTAACTTTCGAAATGACAGGTAGTAGAATGGCAGTGCAAACACTACAGATATGGTCTCCACAGACATTAAAAAAAAACCTACAGCCTTGTGGCCTCGTTGCCTGTTCACACATTAGTGCTATCTGCTGATTGTACATGTTTGAGAAAGACACAGCTCAACGCATTAGCCACCTTCACGAAAATGCAGTATTGAAAAAGTACATGTGTATACATATCCTGTCACTCAGTGTCATGAAAATAAACAAGAGAATACTCCACACGCTTTTCCAGCTTTCCCTTTACTCATCAAAAAGGTAATTAAAAAAAAAATAGCAATTCTCTTTTGCAACCCAGTCATACATTTATTCATCTAGCCTAAAATCATATTAACTTCTCTTTTTATCCACTTTACAAAAACGGTTAAGATGCAGCTTGTACGAAGCTCACAACATTAAACAGTATACTCACCTGTCTACACCTGTTGCATCTCCATGCAGAGAACTATGCCAGTGAACTGGGAGGAATTCCACCCTGCTCACTTTGCGTTCCTCTAAAGACTTCTTAAAGTGAGTCTGCAACAACTTCAGAGAAACAGTCCTAAAATCATCAACTGCAGAGAACAAGAGTAATGAAAATCTGATGGCAGCAATACTCAAGTAACACACAAACATTCTTTTTTTTCCCCCTCTTCAATTTTAGACATAGTCAAAATACAAATGAAGGAAACTGTGAAGTGGAAAAATCTTTGCAAGTATTACTCCTCTAACCATAAGAAAAAAATATTTTTTTTTGAAGAGGTTTTTCTAGCAAGCTTCTATTTATCTCACAATGAATGCATTTTTACTCCACAACCAGACACAACTATCTTAATCAGTTGTGCTGGAGTGGATTTTAAAAAAAAAAAAAAAGCAAACAAAAAACCACTCCACACAAATATCACCACACACACAAGCCACACAAAGCACACACATACCCCCACACCATAAAAAAAACACACTCCACACACCCCAAAACCCAAACCACTCTGCAAGTCTAATATTGAGGACTAATAATAACAGTTAAAGTCTGACAAAACACAGAGACCGTTTGTGGAAAATAATCAGGAAGTCCTACCAGTAATTAAACTTCTTAAAATTAGAGACTGGGGTTTTTTTTGTTTTGAAAGGCATTCTTATCTGACTATGCGATACAGAGACTCACATTTGAACAGTTAAGAATAGAAATGTGCTTTAAACAAGCAAAAACTTACCACATTCAACAATGCTTCTAAATCTCAAGTCACATACAGGACCTATGCCATGAACCATAAATACTAGATGGTCAATTTGGGACACTTCTCCTTTAGAAAAAGAAAATAAAAAATTCATTGTACCAATATGTACTGCAGTGGTGAAGTTTTGAGTCTAGCAACATTAAGATATTTGCTTTATAAAGCCTATTACACAGCCCACAGGATGCCTGTGATTAAAAAAACAGAACCCGATAACCTCTTTCATACGAAGGAACAACTTTAATCTTTAGACTCTAGGCACAAACAGTGCATTGCTGCTCCACCCACTGTTGTCCAACCTTTGCACAGAACCGAACTTACGGCTCAAGCTGCAGACCCATGTACAGTGACCACATACCATCAGGAATTTCATCATGGTCATCATCAATTCCACGTTTTACTACCCTCGGTCTTGCCTGACCATCTTGAGTGGTGCCCCATTCATCTGGTGTGGCAGAAGGTTGGAATTGAACTATGACCTGAAAAAAACACATTGTCCAGTTACAAACCCAAAAAACCTTATGATGCATGTTGTCAGTCTGAAAGCGTTGCATGGTTTAACACACTTTTTGTTTGATTGCTTTACCTTGTATCTGAGACTCAACTGTTTTCTTCAGTCAGCACATATGCAAAAAAAAGCCTTAGAAAACCCTAGGGCTATTCCCTGGGGCAGCAACAGCTTCACTAAAACTAGACTTCAAAATAACACAGATAATTCCTACTAGTGTGAAAAGGAACAAGACGACTTACATGAGGGTAACCACTAGTTGAAGAAGCCGGCCTGCTCAGTGATTCTTAACAATTTCAGCTCCTCAGAAGAGCATTATTCAGCTCCTCTTTCCTAGATCCCAGTATCCACTCTTGCTTAGCAAATTACTGTTCATGTGAGGAAACTGAACTACCCCTACTTACAGCTATTTTGTCATGAAGAAAAAAAAAGTGAAAAAAGTGCAGTGCTGAGGGAAGGACAACAACATTCAAAGAAGCCCAGAAACCCCAGAAACTGAGGAATTCAGTAGTACACCTGTTTATAAGGCTTACACTGACTCAGTATAGTCTGAACTCATACTTATGACACCAAGTGGCTTAAGCACTCCTTCTCTAGGTTTTTACTGGACAGAACTCCTTAACCAACACTAATAAGCACTCAAAGGAGGAGCAACTGCTATCCCTTCTGGCTCTTGAATTATTTTATTTGTTTATTAATTACCGCATCTATGATAAGTGAACAGTTAACAGCACTGCTCAATAAGGCTGAAGTCCATGTTTTAATCACATAAGACTGTTAGCAGAGTATTTACAATACCTTTAAAGCTTTTTTTGCTACACTTTCTCAGGGCCTAAAAACAGTTGCAGTGGACGATTTCTCATGGCTTAGATACACTAACTAATTACCTTATAGCTAGATTAATGCTCTTCTCCACATGAAAGCTCTTAGTTTAAATTACCTTCCATTTGGTACAGACTGTCTGAGGTTAAACTAATTCAAATTGCCTCCTGTTGGCTGCCAGTTATGCTTAGTTTAAATATTTACTATGAAAACCCTTATTCTTAGGTTTCAGAAAACAGTCTTTTAAACACGTAACAGCACACTGAAGCAAGCAGGAGTTCAGTGTTCTCTAAACTTTATCACTTTTAAGGCACACATATCCAAAACAATCAACAAGTACTTTTCAAACCAGACTAAGACCACATTTAATTTATGCTTCCATCCATCTGCTCATTCACCCCTAATGAATTCTGTTAGAACCAATTGCCAAAATCTATTACCTTGGGATTATGCATAACAATTGTCTCCCCATTCGGGAATTCAAGTCTCCGATGCCATTGATTGGTAGTTACAGCCCTTTTATATTCTGCCTGAAACAGTAAACAAGTTACACAAAATCAGTATGCCTTCTCAGACAAAATTTTTTTTGGTCTTGTGCACCATCTGTAGCATTAAGGTTATAATTTACATAACTTGATTTACACACAAGTGTCAGGTGAAGCACTACACAAGTTGATTTTAGGTCATAGTGGTGGAGAACCTTTGCATGTGCGACATGGCCTTCTAGCTGCTCCCCTTTCCAGGTTTTACTTATTTATGTTCCAGAAAACACATTCTGGAAATCATTTTAACAAAACACAAAAGAAGGATTTCTACGATCCTGAATACAAAGAAGTATCAAGTTCTTAATGAAGTTTACGTAAAGGAAATACCAACCTCCAGCTTATCACTAAAATCCTCAGTGTAAGGAATAAACCGGCTATCCTTGTCTCCCTTATAAAACCACATGCATCGTCTCACTTCAGAAGGCTCTTCCTCCCAGTAAACAGCTTTCCTCATTCTGTCATACAGGTAGACATCATAGCGTCCCCCATCAGTGCTCAGAACCACGCTCTCGGGATCAGGCTGGACTAGGACACAAAAGTCACACTCGGTTACAACAGTAACACATACAATCTTTTTTTCTCTCTTGCCCCAGCCCCAATCACTTCTGTGATGAATATTAAGCCATTAAGACGGATGTTTACAGTACAGAAGAGAAGCTTCACAATATCAGGCAAACATTGCATTGCTCCAAATACAACTCTATATGCTCTCTAGACAACAAAAATGCTTTGAACAACTCCCAAATATGAATACTTATTCCAGAGCTGACAGAGTTTAACGAAAAGGCAAACCAAGACAGACAGCCAGGAGTTCAGTGTGAAAATGCGATATCCACTAGGGGTGTATAGCTTAACACTGACAGCATCAAGCAACAGATAATGTAAGTGAAATAAAACTAAGTGGCACAAAACACATCTTTGTGATACATATTAGCACTTCTTATTACTGCCATATCACTCTTTCATACACAAGTGGTATCACTCTAATACCTCCCTTTTAGTCCGTCTGTTCACCTCTGAGTAAGATATGACTTACCAGAATTATATACTTCCTCCAGTTTTGCAGAATCCAGAATGCTGAATGGCATCCATATTTGCTTGTCCTCCACCTCCTTACAGTAGAACCAGTGTGGCTGCACTGGCTCATATTGGTTCTGCAGCAAAACAGGAGGTGCCTGGACCAGAGGACCTGCGGGTCTGGGAGCTTGGGGCTGTGACTGAGACTGTGGAAACTGAAAATACATACAGGCTCATCACCTCAGTCTCACATAGATCAGTTCTGTAAAAACTATAATTTGCAATAGAGAACATTCCGAGCCTTTTTTTTAAACATTTTTTTCCTCCCCAAGAACATTATCTTCCATTCTAAAGGTGCCGTAGACAAGTTGTCCACTTTATTATGTTTTTGAAAACTTACACCTTTTCAAATTGAGAAAGGATGTGAATTTCATTCCCACAAATACTGTTAAAAATGGTTCTAGCACCTTGATTACCTAAAACCAATAAGATTCAAAATATTCTCTTAGATTTTAAAAACTCGGGCTAAGCTTATTCCTTATGGACACCAAATTTGACAGGAAAATAAAAATGCATTCTTCTCATTATTCATTTATACATCATTACACTTTTGCATAAAGATTGCTAATTTTGACAAGTGGCCACTCCAGTAGTAGCTCGCTTCCTGCAAAGTGCTCAGGACAGGCAGATTTCAAACTCAAATGCAGCCTCAGAGACACAAGAAAAATAACTGATTTTGAAAGGGACTATAGCCTACATAAAGCCAATTTCATACAAATCATACAAGGATCCCAGCTAGTACAACTAAAAGTAAGTGATGTCAGCAGTAGCAACTGCTTTGTTAGATATATCTAAAGAAAGAAAAAAAAAACCTAGTATATTGTATAATATATAAAATCAAGCAAACAGAATTTCTGAAATTCTTTAATCTAAAACTCCAGGTTGTTTAGGTTCTATTGCCTCTGCTACCTTTTTTGTCATTATATAACCTTTCTATTCTTTATTCACAACAGCAGCAATATAACAACAGCTCAGGCAAAACTAAAACAATTTTTGTTGTTTTCAAGGAAAACTTGTCAGGTTATTACTAATCCCTTTGCATTATTTTAATAATGCCTTTGTGAAGGTAAAAAAGAATTGAGATTAATGCTTTACATCACACAAAATCCTCAACCGATGTGTTTCAAAACGTTTGCTGACAATCTATGTGACTTAGATCATAATCTCAAGAAGTGCTGGCTTCACCAGCAAAGCCAACTTGAAAAAGAGATTTTTAGCCCGTATCTTGCAAATGGCTGAATGACCTCATTTACAGCAGAGGCCCAAACAATGCAGCAGCACAGCTGAAATGGCAGCAAACTCAGTAACAGACAGAAAAGAAACACATAACTTCACAACCTCGCTTTGTTTCAGACACCAGAGGCTCATGTAGATACAGCCTCAGGGTACACTCACTTCAAAGACGAAGAAGTTTTCCTAAAGCAACAGTTCCAGGCTAGTTCTAGTGAAAAGATTTTGCTATCAGAAATGGTTCAATACTTTTTCTGGGGTTTTCTAGGGGGGAAAAAAATATCTTCAGAAGATAAAATACACAATTGAAAGAGGAAAGTGACTTAAATCGTTTTGTTCTGATACCAGGACATTAGGAATGATTTATATACCTGTGTCAATGGCCCTGGAGGTGTCTGATACATCTGGACCGGTGGTACAGAGGATGGCGGGTGAGCAGGTGTGTGATTCTGTTGCAGCTGCGGCGGCGTAAGGTATGGGTTAGCTCTGCTGCTCAGGGTGGTGTGCCGGTAGGGGTTATACCCCTGCGGAGATGTTCCTTGGGGAAGAGATGTGTTTGCAGGTGGGGGACAGCTCTGCTGAGGAGTCTGATAAGTTGTCATTCCCACCTGTGAAGTAGGTGGTGCACTGTAAGAAGACTGTGACTTGGGAATATGTGGTGAGAAGGCATTTTGCCCTTCCTGAGACCCAGACACAAGTGGAAGTGAAGTTGGAGGCTTGGAGAAGGCTGGTGGTGCAACAGCTGTTAAGGATTGTTGCCCAATACTTCCAAATGGATCACTGCTAGTAGGGACTTGAGAAAAATAGCTGAAAGTCTGTGGTGGATTGGGGCTAGCAGAAGTCTGTCCCAAGAAGCTGTCCTCTTCACCAACATCTGCAGAATCATCTGCAAAAACAAAAAGAACAATAGTTTTTTAACCTGTTAGCGTGTGTAGTCAAAACGTTCTGTAACATTATCAGCTATTTCCCAAAAAATCTGTTGGCCCCCATGAAGCTGAAAGCATTTACAGAGCTTATACAACCTTGATGATTAAGCACACCATAAAATGAAACAAAAGATATCAAGTCTTCGTGAACATTTGAAATGGACCATAAAAGTCACTCAGTCTTACACAGAAAAAACAACAAAAACTGAATATCTGAAAGAAGAGACCAAAGTATGACTGAAGTCATGTCCTTCCAAAGCCAACTTGGCAAAGATCCCTGCTTCCGGGCCCTAAAATCCCTCCCAATTTCCCTTATACCTACCAATTGCAAGAGCAGCCTTGGTTCATTTCCTTTTACCATGAGAACGGTTACCAAGCATGGGACTCCATGCTCTAGGTTTTCGAATTCCAAGATAAATTCAAAAGCAGACATTCCGAAAGAGACCAAACCTATTGGTTCTGCAATCCATTCTCACCTCCTCCTTCAGCACTGCCCTCCCAAGGTTTCCTATTTGATTTGCAAAGCAGCCACAACTCATCACTCCAAGTCACTTCATGAGTGAGACTTACTCCAGTTCTCTCCAAAAATCTACTGTAGACTGGCACAAGAACTAAATCTCTGGTGCAGTAAAATAAGCCTCCATTCTGCATAACTGCAGGAGAGGGCTTAAAAAGGTACAAAGCCACGACTGCCCTTTCGCTCTGAGAAAATCCACAAACCAGGTCCCGATCAATCAGAGTTTTCTGCTTTGCAGTGATCTAGTAAGAAGTGGGGGGGAAAAGTGGTTTGACATTGTCACAGGTCTCACAGTAAGCTCAGTTAAACCTGGGATGGTCTGAGCATCACTGCCTGCCTGCTGAGGTAAGAGCACCTTGCAAGCAGCCAGTGCAATCTGCAGAATTCATAAGAATGTTATCATCTGCTCTGGCAGTCAAATAATCCCCAGGCTGTGGGGAAGAAACCACAAGAGGTATCATTGCTCCTCTGCTACTCAGTCCCCAGCCAAAGAGAAAGACCAAGCATCTCTGCAGCTACAAGCAGCCAATAACAAATGTCTTTATCGGCAGCCAAAATAACTGTAACATAGAGTATCAAGGGAGCACAGGGGAATCCACAGAGAAGCCTCCCTAGGAAGCTGTTGTTCTAATTAATTAATCACAAAAGAAGCAGTTGCTGTGAATAAAAAGGTCTATTTTAACCATCTTTTTTTTTAGACATCTTTTCAGGCAGTGTCAATTTGAGGCATCACGTGCATTTATCAATTTATCTTACTTTCACCTATCGCTTTTTACCCCATTTTGAGGAACAAAACACAAAATCTATGTGTGTGAACCATCATGTGGAGAACACTAGAACCATTTATAAGTAATGACCATTATGAAGTCAGGCTTAGGGACTACCTGCCAACGACAAGCAGAATAGCCATTTATACTAAATAAAAGGTCTCAAATTCTAAACAATAAACTTTTTTCTTCCTTTCACATTTCATAAACGTTGTGGAATAGAGAGAAGCATACTGCCTACCACATTGTGAATTCTCTGCTTTCCAAAATAACTGGCAGCAGAGCAGGCAATTCCACTGGCAATTCACCTCACCATGTTAGATCACAATAAACATGTAGCAATGTGCTGAAGAGTTTTCAAGGCCTCTACAAAATGCCCGTTCACAAGACAGCTACTATTCTCCAATTTTAACTAGGTTTTGGAGGTTTGGTTTCCTTGTATGTTTTCTTAGTTTTTCCTGTATGCTTTCCTTGAAAAAGCTCTGCCAAAACAAAAATATTAGTGTATATATATATACACATAAAATATTACTTTCCACTTTGCCTTTTTCTAATTTTGCAAAAACTATGTTGGAACATAAGCCTAGACTGTCAGAAAAACAAGCACCTCATACAAATTTAAAAATTTCCTGTGAGCGTACAGGAAATTGACATACAAGGGCAGTACTCTTCCCATATACAAAACAGTGTTTCTTCAACAGTGACTGTGTGACAACCCCCTGTATTTCCCTCACTATACAAGGAGCTACCTTGTCATTCACAGATTTTCATCTGACCATCACAAGTAACACTAGGTCCGCTTCCTCATTGGGAACACTCCTCTCTATCTACAGCAAGTATATTGGTTACTTCACCCATACCTGAGCCAGAGGATATATCTTGTACAATTCCTATTACTTTTTACACAATTTAAGATTCAAATCCAAGGGCTTGTTCTTTCCTGCTTCAAACTACGATCCAAGATGCAAGCTGCTCTACACAGACAGATTTCTATGACACCTGGCTGGACAAACAGTGAATGCAATGGACCACAGAAACAGAACACTTAACCGGACAGGGGCCAGACACGGAATGTGGCACAATCTCTGGCACTGAGATTCACTACAGTTCCAAACTACGCATCTTCATCCAATCAAATTTTAAGTGAGATAGAGAGTATACAATTCATCACATTTTACTAATGAAATCCCATCACCATGTTTTTTCCCTGGCTAGCTTCAAAGTCTTCAGGAAAGTGCCACGTGACAGCCATCGATTGGTGCAAAGCTACTGCCCAGACTAGCACTTTAAAATTACCTTTTTTAAAAAAATGAAAAACAATGTATATATGCAAGAAATAAAAACACTACTTCTGTTTGTGCATTCCATATTAAGTGTACCGGCTATGCAGACACCTCACATAAGTGGCAATAATATTCTAACGCTTTTATCCTTCCCATACAACAAGATGTGGTTAATCTAAAAAAATGTTTCAAATCCAGACTTGACAAAGTCTACAGAGATATACTCAATTTATTTCTAGATATAATAATACTTATTTTGGCTAAAATACAACAGCACTGAAATTAAGTCTTGAATTTTGGACTGAACATGTACCAATGCAATAAAATTTAAGATATCTGATTTCTAGATGCATTTCTCCTGTTTGGGGCTTTAATCTCAGACTGAAAACATTTCCAGAAAAATCCATGCCTTTATCTTAAACCGTTTGAGCATCAGATCTCAAGTTGCACATGTATGGGTTTGCAACACCATTGAGGCTTTCGATGGAAAGGATTTTAAAACCACTGATAAATTCAGAAGGAAGTTTAAGGAAGTTTAAGGCTTAACATGCCATTTTCACACCGGGAAAACAGAAGATAACAAGGGAGAGTAGTTTAAAAGCAGTGAAAACACTAAGCACACCCCCGAACAGAAGTCCTGACAACTTTTAATTCCCAAAACACACATCAACAAACTCAAAACACGATAACCATCCCCTCTCCCTAGCCGCAGAACCAAACACCCACCATTAAGCACACGTAAGACAGCAGAACATACGCAACCCAAGCAGCTTCTCTTTCCTGAAGCATTACCGCCCGACAGCAGCC